AAGTTCCCCAAGATATTTCTCAGAACATCGGTGTTCCAGCTCAACCAGAGCACATCGTCTACAAGTTTCCGGATCGTCCGATAGAGTACCAAAATGACGACCATGCTCCGGGACCGATTTCACTCCGGCGGGTTAGAACCACGATGGCAGAGATCATCGACATATGTGGAAGATTTGTGGGGACTCATGACACTGGATTCGTGAGCAAGGATCAACTCCTAGAGTATAGAGTTTACGATCCGGAGACTCGAGAGCCCTTGGTTCTTCCTTTCAATGGATCCACGAATTTGAGCGGCTGGTCGGTAAGTAGTTTGTTATTGTCCTTTTCGAATCAATTTTTTAAACTTCAACATTTTCCAGCGGTGCCAAGTTCAAGAATTCCTCAGCCAAATTGTCTCTTCTCGCGCGGCACAGGCGATTGCAATAAGATGTCTTGCTGAATTTGAGCTTCTGATGTTCAAAACAAAAACGCGTCAGTTGTTCGAAGAGCTCAACTCCCTGGCCACTCATCCAAACCAAAAAATACAATGGCGGAATTATGAAAAAATTTCGAGAGAAGTTGGAAAAGTGAGAAGAGTGCAAGAGCGTCCACATCAGGAAGAAAGTGACAAAGTGGCTCAAGATGCTCAGGACCTTCAGAATTCTCGAAACGAGGAAGCGGACGATGGGCAAGGTCAAGATGAAGCTTATCTGTTGGAATATGACGAGGCAAACGTAGCACTGCCAGATTGGGAATATCTGAATGCTCATCTCCCGCAAAATGTTTTAAACGGGGTTCAAGAAGTTCCAATTGCTCTTGCTCCAAGAATGGAAGTCTACTTCAATTATTGCTCCCATTTCGACTTCCATTATTGGTTGTTGCATTTTGAACTGCCCTCCTGTAAAGTTACACCTGGAAAATGGGAAATACAGAGAAAAGGCACAGAATGTGAGAGGTACGTAGTGAGAAAAAAAATAGGCCGCCAACTTAAACGAGACTCTATTAAAAAGTTGAACTACCAAAAGCGAGGCATTATAGGTTTTATGGTATGTATAAACGTTGAGGACCATCGAAAGGGTGAGAAAAGATTGGGGGATCGTTGGTCGGACCACTGATCGCCAAGGGCAACGTTTTTGGGTCAAATTGCATACGAGATAGTGCGCATTGGCAGAAGAGTGCAGAGAAGCAGAAAAGGCCATACAGGTTGAGGCGTGCGAAATATACAAATTTGTAGGGGAAAATAAGTAATAGGATAGAGTAAAAGGGCAACACGAAAAAATAAAATGAGTCGTAAGAATCTGTGCAAATAAGTTTCGAACATTTTTTTTTGCTATTTCCTTTAGTGCAAAACTAGGTTATTGATTGGGGCGAACAGGGCGACCGTCAAATAACGATCTATTGGATTCGGGACCTCAACAATTAGATAAACGACAGAAATAATAAATTGAAGACTGATCAACCGTAAACCAGCAACTGGAGATATGATGAAAGGATTGCGACCAGAGACAAATGATTTATTCATAACTTTCATTTTTCAATAAATGCATTTAAAATGATTTTTTGAAGACATTGCGAAATTTTCAGAGGGACTGGGAAAGAGAAAGAGAGAGAGAGAGAGAGAGAGAGAGAGAGAGAGAGGGAGATAGAGAGGCTTTATCATTTGACCAGATTCATCTATGTTCGCCGACTAATCTCGTTACACTTCAAAATTTACATTGTTCTACACCCCCCCCCCCCCCCCCTTCCTCGATCAGTGCCTTAGAACGTCAGACTTAGCAACTAGAAAAGTCAGATTTTGCTCTCTTATCGGTTTCCAAGACGACAGCTCGCGCCCAAAAACAGAACCCAGTGGCCAACGACTCTGTGTCTCTCATACTTCCGCTCCAAATCGAGTATCGTTCAGTGGCTCAGAGAGTCTCTTTTTCTTTCAGATTTGTATCTATATCATGTGTCGGGCGCCGGCTTGCGGTGCCAAACAGCGTCTAGTGTACGGCGCGGTGCCGGCGGGACGTTGGCTCTGTGTCTCCCATTTCTACATATGGAATATCACCTTTTGTCACTTCTCTTGTCCCTCGCATCACTCTCGATGTCTGCGCTTTCTATTCACTGATCAATTTGTATTTCTAGCAACTGGAGGCTCAGTCTTCTTTTGACTTCTTGACTGAATAGAGGTCTCAATATTTAGGAACTTCCCAGACATCCTACTGTATGGAAGTCGGAAAGTTCCTTTGATTTTTCTGAAAATTAGTCTACATATTTTTTGAGAACCTTCACGGAACCTTATAAATGAATGGGTTTGGAGATTTTTCAATCTATATTTTTCTGAATATGTTTCTGGCTGGCAAGTTTGCGGTGATGTCTCATCAGGCTAATTGAGAAGAACGTCGGATTGGTGAGTGAGTGGGAATTTAATATATAATTGGTTGAAAATGGAAGAAAAATTATCCTACTTGATTGTTAGAAAAAGTAGTTTGTAGTATTCGCCAATCCAATTTTCTTTCCAGGGGATCACATCTAAACACCAAACGCAGCATTCTGCAAAATTACCCAAGTTGGGGGACATGCCTTGGAGTTTGTTTAATGTTATATAGGTAAGTGGTACAGAATTCGAAACAAAAAAATGGAAAAATTTCAGAGAAGGTCCAATTCGTGGGCTTCGACAGATGTTCGAAAAGCGCTTTGTTCTCAATAGAATTTTAAAAATAATTTTTGAAAAAATAAATATATTTTATTGATTTTCCAAGTATCGTTTTGCTTTTTAGAGGAACTCGTGGGGGTTTTTTTTGAAATATCAAAATTTTCAATTCAAAGCTGTCCGTATAAGGGATTCAGAGACCATCTCTCCTTCTCAGCTTTCTTTTTATGTGTCGAAGAGAATTCCAATTTCTTCTTTTCCCAAGCAAGCTGTCATTGACAATTTTGCACGCAGGCACATTAGAGGACATTCGCAGACCTTCAGTGTTGCGTGTTAAGAAGAAGAAGCCCCATTTCCCCTGAGTTTTCCGCTGTTATATGTGCCTCGACGTCTTACTTGCGCTATGTTTTCCTTTTCTCCCCATCACCCCGCCCCCCCCCCCCATCTTTCTCTCTCTCGCTATCTCTCAACTCGGACCCTTCTGCGCTTTTGCCCACATTACTACTACTCTATCCCTCCTGACCAGCATCTGATTTAGCAGGTCTCTAGGAATCTTCCACGAAATCCTTCTGCTTGGAATTCTGGAAGAAACTCCTTTGTATTTTTCTGAAAATTATTCTATTTGATCCCATCCTCAGCTACCGTCGTTTCTGAAGACTACGCTACACTTTTCCAACCTATGTACCAGCAGAGTACCTCGACGATATCCTTTCAAAATAGCGAATTCTCCAAAGGAAATCCGAAGAATCGCATCCTATGTGGCCGATACATCCGACAGAATTCGTTGACGTCGCATGCTTCCAAAAGCTTCCGGGCCAAATCAAGAAGGTCTGTGGCAGAGAATGCCAGCAGAAGTTCAAGCAGCGTGAGTTTTTTACTGGAACTTTCGAAAAGCCTCGAAATTCTCTAACTCGCATTTCCTGATTACTAGATGTTAAGGAAAAGACAGTGAAAGAGAGAGAGAGAAAACTAGATAATCTATTCAGATCTTGAAAATTATGAAAAGTTGTGAAGCTTGATTTCACACAGTTAATCATTTTCAAATATCTAGTTTTCTAAACCCTCAAAATCCCATTTTTCAGTATTCATAAACATCAATGCCATCTGTTGCCCAACGGAAAATAAATATTTTTTGTTTTTAGAATACCTCAATTAAATGATTTTTCTGCCTCTTTTTTAATAAACTGTTTTTTTTTTGAATTTCAGATAAAATTTTATCATTCAAATTGAAGTTTGGACCGAAAAAGATAATCTGGCTCCAAAATTTGGAGAGCGACCCCCTCCAAAATTAATGAATCTATTTAATTTTTGACAACTGATAAAATGTGTAGATTTGAATTTTACACATTTTCGCAGTTCACAATTTTTTATTAGCATTCACAGAAACCGAGATAATTGGGTTTCAAGTTGAGGAGTTTCTCTTTCTCTCTCATAGAGCATTCATCTCTTATTTCTTCATTTGCGAGAGAAAAAGAGAGGCTTTTTAAAGATAATAAGATTTTAGAAAACTTAGTAAGCTTCATTTATGTTCGCCAACTAATCATGAGAGGGTTTCGGACTATAGCCTCGGCCAGAATTCCTATTTCTTCTTCCCCCAAGTCAGCTGTCGTCAACAATTCTACACGGACACTCATTAGATGACCGGGGGCAGGCCGTCAGTTAAGCGTGTCAAGTAGAAGCCCCATTTACACTGAGCTTCTCGCTGTTATTTGTGCCTCGACGTCTTACTTGCGCTATGTTTTCCTTTTCTCCTCATCACCCCCCCCCCCCCCCCCATCTCTCTCTCTCTCTCTCGCTATCTCTCAACTCGGACCCTTCAGCGCTTCTATCCACATTACTACTATTCTATCCATTATGACCAGCATCTGATTTAGCAGGTCTCTAGGAATCTTCCGCGAAATCCTTATGCTTGGAATTCTGGAAGTTCCTTTGTATTTTTCTGAATATTATTCTATTTGGTTCCATCCTCGGCTACCGTCAACGTTTCTGAAGCCTACACCTTTTTGACGTTCTTGTTGCTTGGAGCATTTTTCGTGTTATGGGATGCCAAGAGTGTGTTTCAAAAAGTTCAACGACTATGCCATTGGAATATGCGAGGACTTCTGTGCAAATAATGCACCTGGTAAGTTCAATTTCATTTGTTTTTTGAGCTATTGTTTTTTGGGATATACATATAATTATATTTTGCTCATTTTGAAGCTCTTGGAAAAATCGATTGGTATAACTGTTATAGAATTTGAATCAAAACTAGCGGAGATACGGGTCAAAAACCGCTAGCTTCGTTGGTTCACCGTTTCTTTCTAGCCTTATCACTTTGAGCTCAATTAACTCGGATCCCATAAGAGATAACAAAACATTATCAGCTGATAAAATGTTTGCTATATTACGATAACTGTTATATCGATTGCCTCATTTTTTATAGATATTATAGGAGCCAAGATAATTGAGCACATAGTGACCATACTCAAATTACGTCATAACTTGGTTCGAAATTAGAATTTTGATTTGATTCAACAGCGAAAAATGTAGAACTCAACGTAATTTCAGAAACAAAGTTAAATCAACTTTCGATTTTCTAGATTTGGCTCAAGCCGTATGTTCCGGAATCCAAGTACCAAAATCGGAAATCAAGATGAGATGCTGTCCATGAACAACAATTCAAAGCACTCCAAGGATTTATTTAACTTAGTTTTTAGGTTTTTTTAGTTGCTTAGATTTTATTTTTGTACGAGTTAGTTGGTCTTTTCAAAAAATTTTTCTCTTTTTTTAATGTAAATTTTAGTTAGTTTCTCTTTTTAGTTTTTTAGCTTTTTTGAATCTTTGGGGTACTTCAAATGAAACTTGTTAACTGTAAGAATACTATTTTTAATGTTTTCTTCCTCGATTTTCCGATTTTCCAATTTCCCGTCTTCCGTCCGGAAAAATTTGTTCCGCCTTCCGTCTTCCATCAAAAAAAATTTAATATTTGAGAAGTTATGGACACAAGCCTTTGGCGCGTTGTCGAGCGAAAATTATCGATTTTGAAGGTAGTTACGCTCAGTGGCCTGGAAAACCAAGTTTTGTGAAAACTAGGTCATGGTGTACATGGTTGTACATGGTTCTATACAGCATTCTTTAAGAGTTCCATATCAGTTTTTGGATTTGAAAAATATTTTGAAGCGAGTTATGGCCATTTTAGTTCTGGGGGCCTAGAAATCCAAAACTAGGCCACACCGCCATGAATTTGAAATGGTCATAACTCCCTTCTAAATCGATATTTTTCAAATCTGAGAACTGTTATGGAACTCGTAAAGCATGCTCTTTCGAACAATGTACACCACGGCCTAATTTTCAAAGATTTGGTTTTCTCAATCACCAACTTAAAATGGGTGTAACTCGCTTCAAGTTCTATATTTTTTTGAATCTAAAAACTGTTATGAAACCCTTAAAGCATGTTCTCTCAAACCATGTACACCGTGGTCTAGTTTTCAAGGGACTTGGTTTTCTGGGTCACTAATGTGAAATTGGAAAACTATGACATGGTTTACATGGGTCCAAAGAGCATGCTTTACGAGTTCTATGACAGTTTGCTGAGGATCAGGCTGCGAACAGTCATGCTGAGGATCAGGCTGCAAACAATGGGGTTTCGGTTGGCTTTTACCCGGTAAAAAATCATTTTCCCTTTGTATGTACTGAGACTCTACGCGGCGAAAGTGATCAACAGACTATATTTGTCTGGCTATTTCAGTACACAAAATCTGAAGAAAATCATGGTCCAAAAAAACATATCTTATATAAACTTCCTCTGCGTCTTGTTCGCTAAGTTCGCAAAAAGTCATGATCATGAAAATTGGAATTTCTCTAGAATTCATAACTTTGTACAAACAGCAGATTTGAGCCTGAAATTTTGAGTCAAAGCTTCAAATTGAACTTAGAACATGTTTTTAATAAAAAATTCAAAAATATTTCAAATTAAATAATCTACATTTATTTTTAGGTATTGCGTTCAAATTCCAGACAGAAGTCTCTCATATTATGGAATGTGAAATCTGGAATAAACTAGGCTTAGAAGAACTCTTCATAACTTTGTTTAAACAAGAGATTTCGGCTCTATCTGAGTTTACAGGTCCTATGGGAATTTGTAAAATGTAGCAAACAACCCTATAAGCAATATTTTGAAACATTTTTACCCAAAAAATAGAAAACAACTTTTTTGCCGACAAAATTCACTTTTTGGAAAATTTCGGATTTTTTTTTCAAAAATCTGACGATTCAGAATGTGTAAAATTAATTTGATTAGATAGATCTTGATTTAAAAAAATTATTCATTATCGTTTTCTATGTTTTTCAAATTTTCGAAAAAAAACCTCCAAAAACCCGATATTTTCCAAAAAGTGAATTTTGTCGCCAAAAAAGTGGTTTTCCGTTTACTGAGTGCAAATGTTTCAGTTTTCTAAGGTTATTTGCTACATTTTACAAAAAAAGTTTGATACTTTAGCTCGATTTCGAAGAAAGTTACTGTCAAAAAACCTGTTGAATCGACAGTGTCGACGCATTCTTTTTGGCCAGTACTGTACACCCGACAGAATCAAATTTTGAGGATTGTCAGTGACCATCTCGACACTCGCTGATTTCTATTTTAAAAAATCAGGAAAATCTTCTACAGACGGTTGAGGACACTGCATTTTTCTAAAAGCTCCCGGGGCTAAGCGGCGCAATCTGTTGCCCAACGAAAAATAAATATATGTTTTTTTGTTATTTAAAACTAGTTTTGTAGCTTCTGTACTCTTTGCTTGAAATTTTGCCTAATCTACCTCTTTTTTTCAATAAACTTTAGAAATACTTGAAATGTATTAGTTTTTTTTCTAAATTTCAGTTAAAATTTCATCTTTCAGATAATTAGATTTTAGAAAATTTAATCAGTTTCATATGTGCTCGCTGAAGAGAGAGCTTCGGCCAGAATTCCTATTTCTTCTTTCCCCAAGTCAACGATTCTACACGGACATTCATTAGATGATCGGGGCAGGCCGTCGGTTTTTTAGATGTTGAATTATGTTTTCCAAATTCTTTTATTAGTCGATTAGGCGCTTTTTCTTCATGACACTGATAATGAACCTTTTCATCGGAACTTTTTTTTTTTTGAAAAAAAATGATCATATATCTTCCTGATTTGTGACCACTTTTTTTCTGGTGCTCTTTTTCTTCTTTCACCAACATACGAAAGTGAAATTGAAGAACATGTGATTTATCCCATAACAATCTAATCTATGAATATCAATCTTTTTCTCAAAAATGCCGAAATTTTCTCTAGTTTCCTAATGGAGGTTGACTTCTTTGGTTTTCAAAAAGTTTTTTTTTCAAAAAAGTGACGTTTGTAAGACCCGAAATTGTCTTTTATAGGGTTGTGAGGAGCCCAACTGTGTCGAAAAGAGAGGAAGGCGAGAATTCCTATTCCTTCTTTTCCCAAGCAAGCTGTCGTTGACAATTTTATACGCACGCACATTAGATGACATTCGCGGACCTTCAGTGTGGCGTGTTAAGAAGAAGCCTCATTTTCCCCTGAGTTTTCCGCTGTTACATGTGCCTCCTTTTTACTTGCCCTATGCTTTCCCTCTCACGCCCCCCCCCCCCCCCCCATCGCTCTCTCTCTCTCGCTATCTCTCAACGCGGACCCTTCTGCGCTTTTGCCCACATTACTACTACTCTATCCCTCCTGACCAGCATCTGATTTAGCAGGTCTCTAGGAATCTTCCACGAAATCCTTCTGCTTGGGATTCTGGAAGTTCCTCTGTATTTTTCTGAATATTATTCAATTTAACCTTTGAAAATTCCAACAAACCCTTATAATTAATGGGTTTTGGAACATTTAAAAAATTTTTTCTGATATTCCATATTTCAATATATTGTGCTTAAGAATGGTAAGTCTAATCGTTCCGAGCTTTACCACGTGGAGTTGTTTCTGAACTTCTGTAAATTGAAAAATTATAATCTCTAGAGAATCTTAACCTTTTGAATACTCATAACTTCTGAAACTTTTTTCTCAATTTTAATGGTTCTTTTAGCGGAAAAAAATCGGAAATTTAGAAGTCTACATTTCTGTGGAACGCCGAAATTAGAAAAAAATGTCATTACGTTTGCAGGTTCTGCAGCTCCAAGCGATTCCATAGCTCCAGAAGACATTACAAAAACCGTGATGATCTCAATATCCTGAAACTCTGCGTTTTCAACAGCGTGTGAAAAAATGTTTTGAGGACAGAGGCAAAAATTGAAGAGTTCTGCGGAAAGACACATTGCGAATGGAAATTGTAGTGGACCAGTGAGTGATCCTAACATTTCGAAACTGAGCAATTTTGTATTAAATTGACCTTCAAATTCTGTATTTTGCGCTCAAATTTTATTGGTAAAGGTTCGCTCTAATGATAACCCATCTCGTTTCTTATAAGAGCTATCAAAAAGTGGTCAACTAACAAAATGTTTATCACATTATCTTTAATATTTCATCATCTGGCAAATTTTTGATTCCTCTCATATAAAACGAGATAATTGAGATCAATGTTGATCTTGCCCTGACGGCCGGACGGTCTTTGGTTTTTTATTCTAAAAGTCTCGCCTTGTCTTCAAATTAAGAGCTGCTTCTAAGATCGAGAAGTTTGAAATTTTGCGTGTTAAATTCAAAATCGGTGTTTTCTAATCAGATTTTTTCCAGCTATTGCAAACACATGCACCAAGTTCAATGAGTGCATCACCAAGGACAGGATTTACATGATCTGCTGCATAGAAGGACAAGATGAAGTAAATGCAGTGGAGTAGGATACTTTCTGAAATCTGATGTTCTGAAACTCCAAAGTTCCGAATTCGCCCTAAATTTTCCAACAAAATTTCGCTCCCAGATCTTTTGTTTTAGAATAAACCTCCTCTCTTTACTTATTTTTTTGTAAACTACCTCAAAATTTTCTCTTACCTCAAATTTTTCTATCCCTATCTCTAAATCTATACTTTTTCTTTTTCCTCCGTCAATAAAATGTTGTTTTAACAAGCATTTATAGAATGAGCTCCTTACTTTTTGAGCTAGTTTATCTCGGTTTATATTTAAAATATCATAAAGTGGTAGACTGTAAAAAACTTGTGATATTATGATGAACATTTTGTCAGTTCACCGCTTTTTTGTATCTGTCTCAGAAAACTGGATATATGAGCTAAAAGTTGATGGTTTGGGAGCCAATTGAATAGAACTCTTCCTAAACTTTTAACATGGCGCCAATATATCTCGGATCCTATGAAAGATTTCAAAAATTGTTAGTTAAAAAGTTATTTTCGATTTTGTGATAAACATTTTGTCAGTTGATCACTTTTCTCATATCCGTCATAGAAAACGAGATATACGAGCTAAAAGTTGACGGTTTGGAAGCCATTCTAATGGAATGATCCTCAACTTTTAACTTCAACCCAATATATCTCGGTTCCTATAAAAGACTTCAAAATGTTGTTGATTGACAAAACAACTTTATGTTATAATGAACATTTCTTTAACAGAAGGGCTGAAAGTTGACGGTTTTAGGAGCACCCTGGTAGAGTTTCTATTGGAGGTTACGATAACCAAGCTTATTATTTTTTCAAAATAATAATTTGGCTAAATTTCCGGTTTCGAAACTTTTTTTCAACTTCAGACTATGGACCAAAGATTTCGCGGTGTTGTGCTCTCCGGAAAACAAGTCTTTTCCACTTCTCACTCTTATTTATATCGTTTCTGTGTGAATTATTTAGTCTCCAGACTCCAGATGCTCAATTTCTGGAAGTGTATAGACACCTTAGGATTTTTTCAATTGTTCAATGACGGGGAAAATTTTTACGCATATATGTCATGTGTCGCGCGCCGGCTCGCGAGGTCAACCGCCGTTAGCGGCTATTGACTCTGGGTCTCTCATTTTTTCATGTTAGCTATAACTCTCTTGTCGCGTTCGTCGTTTTTTGCCTCATCGCCAATGTCTGCGTCTCTTTTCAATTAGTATATTCGAATTCCTGAAGTCTCGGTTCGCAGTCTTCTTCTGACTTCTTGCCTGAATAGTAGTCTCAATATTCAGGAACTTTCCAACATCCTTCTGCATGGAAGTCGGAAAGTTCCTTTTTGATTTTTTTCTGAAGATTAACCCATTTATTCCTCGAAAATCTTCGTAAACCCTAATGAATGGGTTTGGAGATTTTCCAATCTATATTTTTCTGAATATTCGAAACTTTTTCAAAAACTATTCTTGGAAGTTGTCATGTGAGTTCTATGTTTTTCTTCGCAAAAGATTGAGAAAGTAAAAATTAAAATCGAGTAGACTCAGTCAAATTAATTACGAATCTTCACGAAATTAGTGAGTTTTTCAATCTTTTCCAATTTTCAGTGAGGGCTTCAAGATGTTCAAATATAGTGTCAATGTGACTTATATCACAAAGAAGTATAGTGGAGGTTTTCGTTGAGGTTCCGAAGTCAGACAGAAAGGACTCCCAGCTTGTGCAGGACAAGATCAGAAGTCAAAAAGTCGTCAAAGAATCGTTCAACCTGATCAATCAGAATTTCCCCAATATCAAACTTCAGAAACCTCGTCGAAATGCTTCTAGAGCAATGGAGTCAGTATGGAATGGAGATTGCGTATCCAAATGTTAACTGAATGGTCCAGGATAATTTGGAATTGGTATTTCAAAAAGCTCAGAAAAGGGAGAACACAAATATAGGATTCCATCGGTACCAATCGATCTGAAAAGTGCAAGGAAAATGGCAGAGGACAAAGCGGTCAAGCTTGATTTGGCAGACCGAGTTAACAAAAAGAGCCAAAGAATCAATTATGCAGTCTACAGCGATGTGTTTCAAAATGGGAACGATCTTGTGATATCTATCCCTTTCTGGAAAACATCTCATAAATATCCCAAAGTAAGATTATATAGTTTAGTTTCTAATTTGATTTATCTTGTTTTCAGTATCCATTCACCGTTGGATTCGCAGCTAACACTACCAACACGAGATGTTGCTGATTCCCTTCAAAATGGATTTTTTGTTAATTCTGCTAATTTTATAAAAAAGGTTTCTTTCTACATAAAATTGTTGTTTCTTTTGTTTTCTTGAAAACATGCCAAAAAAATTTCAAGGGGGAGGGGAGTTGGAATATGGTCTGAAAGGAAATTTGGCCAGCTGGACCGGGGCAAAACTTCAGTTTCAGTACAAAGAAGAAGTCCCATTTTCTTTACTCGCATTGTGTTTCTTCTACCTCAACTCGGACCTTCCGTCGCTCCTGGCCACATTTCTACTATTCTATGTATCTATCGTGGCCCTTTCCACTCACACAGTACGCACACTCACACACTTACACGCTCATCAGAGGACCATACTTTCGTTTTGTGCAGAGCGGGCAGATGTTCTTCTTTGCCCAACCTCTGGTTTTCACACATATCTCGATTCCTTACACACTCTGTGTCTGTGATCTCTCGCTCTCAATGTCCGAGTCTCCGGTGTTCCGGACAACTTCAGTTCTCCGTTTTACCCTCCTATGAACCCTTGACAGAATAGAGTTCTATTCAGGAGCTTTCCTGTTCTCCGTCTGAATGGAGATCGGAAAGTTCCTTTCTTGATTTTTTCTGGAAATTAACCTACATGTTTACTCTTTGAAATTTTCAATAAACCCTATAAATGCATGGGTTTTTGAAACCATTTAAATCTTTTTTCCTGAAATTCCATATTGCTACAAATTGTGTCTCAGCAATGGTAAGTATTTCGTTCTTTCAGAATTGGAAAGATTAGTTTCCAAGCTTAAAAAAACTCAGAAATATAGGAACAATTAGAATTCCAGAAAGTATAAGATGTGAATAACGTTTTTTTAACTAAAATTCATAATAGTGGTATTCAATTTCAGAACCGCCTCCCGTTCAAAAAAGAAAAAAACGGAACAGCAGCTCCTGGAACTTTGTATGATGCTACCGCCTAAAGGTAAGGGTATGTCTTTCTTTAGATGTTGACAACACCAATTTTTCCAAGATTTCTGGAAAGTCAATTTGTTGTTTCAGATCTCCATACGACCCACGGATGGTTCCTCCCCACTATTAGATGGTTGCGATGCCACAGAAACGCCATCACAGATGTTCAGCGATGTTCCACTCACTCGTTCCGTCCCCAATTCAGGTAAGATTTTAGTTTAGAAAATTCATGTACTTTTCACTGAATTTCGTTTTCAGCTACGATTACTCGCCTGGGCAACCTCTTCTTCGAAATGCTTAGAATATATGTGGAATGAGGTAATCCCAAAAAACTTTGAATATCAATAGTGACTAAAAAAATTGCAGGATATCCAGAACACTCCAGTCTCTCAACATGATGGCCACGGGACATGCCATGTTTTATAAGTATTTTTTTCTATTTTTATGTCGTCAATAAATATGTTTATTGAAACATTTTGTCTTTTAAGTTGTGAAATATGATTTCGAAGTTCTATAGATAGAATGGACAATGTTCTCAAACTGCTGATTTCAGATAACAAGTCATTATCCTTTTTCTATCTCCCCTTGGTCACTCATTCCTGGATCATGTTCTGCTTGAAAATCTGGAGGACATTAAAAAATGTTTTTCTTGAAATTCCGTTCTTTTGAAAGTCTGAAGTAGGATTCGAGTGCTCATTTTACAACGAGGACTATGTACACCATTACTGCAAAATGCATACCGTATCTCCATAAATTCTTCTGTCTCTCTTCAAACAATCAGGAAAAAACAAGCGTCAGCTTTCATGAGTCATCTTTTATGAATCATCAAGCATTTTTAAAGCCCCAAGATATTATGCGTCATCAATGATCAATTTCTCTTTGTCTCTAACAGTGTTTTTTTCAAATTTAGTCTTTCATCTCTCTCTTCTCAATTTTTCTTATTGTCTTTTTCTACGGGCTCGTCGTCTGGCCAATTTCATTTGCTACGCATCCCTATATACACTGACATTTTGGAAAAAGCAGTATCATTCTGCCCCCTTTGACCGCTTAACTGAATGACAGGTCTAAATTCTACGGAACTTCCCGTGATGTACTTCGAATATTGGGAATGTTTCCATTATTTTTCTGAACTTTTATATATTTTCTGAAATCCTGAAAATGTATGGATTTCGAAAATCTCTATATTATTGATTTTTCTGAGGATTCTCTTATTTTATCTCTAAACTATTCCTATAATTTTTCCCCTCAAGAAGGTGAGTTAAAAAGATTTTTGGGACACATAAATGCATAAAATTTACAAGTTTTATCAGATGATAAAAGTGTGGAATTTCGAATCTATTTCGCAATAAGCTTCAGAAGGTTTCGAAAATGTTCAATAGAAAAAAGAGTTGATTGTCTAAAATAGTCGAACATTTACCTTGCGGGTTTTTAGACCATTTCCCATGGTGGCCTAGGAAACTCAACTTCCGAAAGTTAGGTCTTCATGATGAACCATGATGAAATGGTCTAGAACACATATCAGGATAATCTAAGACAACTAAAGGGCGCACTTTCACCTGATAGGTCATCTACATATACCATTTTACCATCATGACCTACCTTTCGAAAATTGAGTTTTCTAGGGCACACATTTTATGGCCCAGAAATGGAAATAGATTAATCTTGAAAACAAAAATCTCATGAATTTTTCAGGAAATTCACTGGGTGCTAACCGAATGTCTCAAAGCAATGACCACAACAGAGTGGAACTGCACAAAAAGTGAGCTTGCTAATTTTAAATTACCGTACACAATTCAATAGACTCTGGAGGAGTCTAGAAACTATCTTACCGTGAAACCTATTATTTAATGCTACACAAACCGTTAACTTTGAACCTATATATCTCATTTCCTGCAAAAGATATCAAAAAATGGTCAACTAACAAAATATTCCAAATATTATGATCAAAATGTTATGTGTTGACTACTGACTGTGTTTTTCACAGGATTCGAGATGATTGAGCTCCAAGTTAACGATTTGGGTGCCTTTCATTAGAGTTTTTTCCAGTAAATCAATAAACCATACTTGCAACGGGCCGGGTCGGGCCAAAGCGACCATTTTCCCGGCCCGGCCCGCCCTTTCTCAGTAAAAAAAATTTCCAATAAAAAATTGGGACATTTTTTTGAATTAAAAAAGAAAAAAAGTTACATGCTTTTTAAAATTATCAAAGTAGAAAGCAGTCGGAAAATTCAGAATTTTTGATTAAATTTTTGAAAAAATTTTAAAATTTTCGGAAAAAAACTTTAAAAAAAATCAGCTTATGTACAAACAGCGGGCCGGCCCGTAATTTTGCTTTTAGTATGCAATAAACTGTGTTGATTCGAACAATGTTAAATTTCAAGTTGTGTATAGACCTATTTTTGTATTCGAAGTACCAATTTGTTTTCAGGGCCCCCGAAGAGAAGCGTCGTAGTAGAAAACTGCCGCAAGCCGACCTAATAAATGTATTTTTTTAATTCCCGAATAAAATTTTGTAATTTTGATAATTTTTGAAGAAAACTATATTTTATAATATTTCAGGTAAAAAGTGTAAAACAAACAATTAAAGCATAATTGCAGAAAATTTTTAAATAAAAAAAAAACATTTTCAGGAATTTCCCAGATTATCCTGTAGATTATTAGAAACTCATATATTAGAAAAGTGGAAACTCAATAAAAATTAGATAGTCACACCATGCACTTCACGACATCGAAAAACTCAAAAAAAAATCTGAAAAAATGTGTAAAAATTGAAAATTCAAGACATTTTTATTACAACAAAAGTGACAGAAAAAAAGGAAGGGAATTCGATAAATTATTAGAAGAATTGAGATTTTCAGACGAAGAGTTTCAGATTTCACATTGGACGGAATTGCTGCGGTGGACGTGGCATCATTGGTGGCATTCCCGGTGGTCCGGCGAGTCCCATTGGTGGTCCAGGGAATAGAGCAAGCTGGAAAATGGGGATTTTAAGCATAAAATTTGGCATTTCCGGCTTTTAGAGCAACAAAATGAATGCAGAAACTTTGAAAATCGGTGAAAAATGGGAAATTTACTACTGCCCCGCAGTAGCAAAATGAATTTTACTACTGCCCAGCAGTAACAAAATCGCATTTTGGTGCTGCTTTTTCATGTTTTGCTACTGCCAAGCAATACCAAAATGGATTTTTACAAAGATTTGGGCCATTTTTTGTGGGGTTTTGGCAATTTTAGACTAATTGTGGACCGATTTCAGCTTTTTAAAAGTCATTTTATTCAATTTTTGGACCATATAAAGCAAAATTTGTATCATTTTAAGCATTTTTCAGACAATTCTAGGACAACTAGACGCTAATTATCAACATTTTTTGGGTTTTTTGAGCTATTTTCAACTTTTAAACGGCTTTTTACAGTGATTTTCAGAAATTCCTTGATAATTTAAAAAGAAAAAGGACTCTACAACTGCTGGGCAGTACCAAAATCTGATTTTTCCGAAAATCGGTCAATTTTAAGCAAATTTTCAGCAATTTTGCATGTTTTTTGACAATTTTTGATGAATTTATAGACTTTTTAGAGCCAATTTTTTGATAGTTTATAGTAATTTTTAGTCTATTTTTGGCCAATTTAGGGTCATTTATGCTTAAAATGCCGGATTTTCGACTTTGTTAGAGCCATTTTTGATGAAAATCAACCAAAAAATATCAAAAATTAAGGAAAATTAAAATTTTGCTACTGCCCAGAAGTACCAACATGAGTTTCTACATAGATTAGGGTCAATTTCAGCTAGAATATGTCAATTTTGAGCAATTTTTTGCTCAATTTGGTCCAAATCTATCACATCCGCTTTTCAATATTTATTAGTATTTTTCTGGAACTTTTTAAATTCTCGACTTTGATCATCGGATAAATGGATTTTTGTGATAAATTTTTCTTGTTTTTGGACACTCCAACAATATGGTAAATGTTGTTTCAATGCAGATATTTGTCGCCAAAAATCATAAATCAAAAAACTATCATTTTCCATTTTTAGACTTTGCACAAATCCATGATAGAACCGCAAAGTGCTTCAAAACTGAACATTTAAAAACACGTAAGTTCATAGATTTTGGAGAATTTGCTTATCTAAAATTCTTCTTTATTCAGGATTTCCAAACTTCCCAATCACCCAGCCAAGCCAGTTTTGATAATGGAAGAAAATGGGGATGTGTTTCGGGTACAAACACTTCGGGTATAAAAAACACAAAAATTAACCTTCTTGGTAGTGGCGGATTTCTGAAAAGAAGTTATGGTACTTTCAAGAATTCCCGAATTTCTATTGTCTGGCTTTCGGGTATAAAAAACACAAAAATTTTCAATTTTCAGATTTTTCCAAATCCATGACTGAATGCTTCGAAATTAAGAGGAAAACACGTAAGTTTATACAAGTTGTTTTTTTTCAATTTTCTGAAAAATGCACTTTCTGAAAAATTAGCCAATTCAAAATTCTCATTTTTCAGGACCACCAAGTGTATGGACCGACAAGCCATGACAGTTTTAGAATTGATGGTAAATGTGGATGATAAACCCTTTAATATTAGTTTTTCAAATTTTATTTAGATATTTTAATGTGTATGAAATTGTTATTTTTTAATTTTTGTGTTGACCAAGTGCACATGTACAAGTTGAAAGACCAAAAAACGACGAGTTCAAGATGTCTACAATTTTGTAGACACTCTAATTCAGATTTTTCTGAATTTTTGAGAATTTAGAGTAACATCAGAAATTTCAATTTTGTTGAAAATGCTCAAATATGAATGAGCACAGCCCTGAAGTGATATTGTCATGTGTATAGTCTAGGAAGAATATTGTAAACACAATTTTTCCCACGTTTATTTCTCTTGTTGGGTTCGTACAAAAAAGTGGTCAAATACAAAACTGAAGCTTTCATTTTGTTCAGTATACTCTAAAAGTTTCAACAGAATTGACAAACTCTAAAGTATTTTTTTAGTACTTCAAAGTTGATCGCCGTAAAACCTGTAATGGAAGAGACCCACAAATTGGAGCCAATTAAAATTTGTTCTTGTGAGAGATATCAAAAAGTTGTCAACTGGAAAAACATTTTTGATATTACGTTGAACAATTTATTAGTAGACTACTTTTTGATATCATTCACAGAAACTGAGATATATGAGAATAACTTCTTCCACTCCGTAACAATGTTGAAGAACTGAGCGGGGCCGACTCTAAGATTAAGTTAAAGCATCGGAGATGAAAAAAAACTTAATTTTTTTCCATTCTTTATTTTAAAAGTAAAAAATCACAACTTTAATGAACGAGATTTTTCCAGTTTTATCGCTTGATTCTTCTCACCGTCACTTTGTTCAAATTTATGACGATCTCGTCATGGATAGAACTGAAAATAATAATAATTTACTGTTCCGGAAAAAAAATTGTTCTCACTTTTCTGACAAGTAAAACTTCGGACCTTCAATCGCGAAGCTATTCCTTTCAACGTCGTTACAACAGAATTCTACCATGTATAACAGCTCAACGATCTGAAACACAATCTGAGGTGTCTACAGTACTGGATAAATAAGTTTATTTTTTTTGTGGGAAATGTAAGTGAGATTTGGGAAAAAAGTGACTAAACATAAGCGAACTAGATGTGGAAAAGTGACCAAGTTTGGGGAATGTGACCAGTGGAGACTCTGAAAACCAAAATTAGATCATTCTCAAAATTCAGTGGTATACCTGAAGTTAACCTCCGATAAGAATCATAGGACGATTGGGAAGATTTTTGAGAGCGTCCATTCCTGAAAACTGGAACTTTTTCCGACCTTATAAGATTTCAGATTCCAATTACCGGCATGCCTTGCTTTCTTATTGTTGACCGCTTTCTGGATAATTTCCGAAAGTTGCTCATCAGAAGAGCCATCTCGAATCTTGTCACGAAGACTGACTTCAGAGTTCCCATGGAGGCATACCTGGAGGGTAGAAGTATTACTGATATTTTTGAGAAAAAAAACGTTGGAAACTAATAAGAGAGTGTTGGAGCATAAGAGAGAGGAATGACGTCAACCAAAAATTTATATTTTATAGAGTTATGTTTTCTTATAAGATCATCCCTAGGACATGTACTGCATCGGATAACAATATATTGAATTTTGAATTTCCAGAAGAAAACATGTCTACCTCAAAAATAGTCTGGATTTTTTCGGTTCCTTTGAAGAAATCTAGCAAAATTGAGAATTTGAGATTTTAATGGTAATTCTCAAAACGTGAGTTAACTACAAATTTCAAAACTCAACTAGTCAGATTTATTTAGTTCTCATGCCTTCCACATTAGTTCATCGGAGTAGAAATCTTTCTAGTGATATTTGTTTCATGGGAAACTTTAAAAGCGGTTGCCATAGAGAGTGAAAACACCGGAAGAGAGGAATTTCCAAAAGCGAAAAAAGAGGAAATTGAAAAAGAAGAGAAATGAAAAGGTCTCCCTGTAGATTGTGGTCATGGAGAGAAAACTAGAGGATAGAGGAAATTGGAAGGGTACAAAAGATGTACATAAAAAGGAAATTAAACAGAATATGGTTATATTTTCCCATTAAATCGTCCCTGGAGAGTATATTTTCGAGGAAATCGTCTGGCATGTGATAGCAGAACGGCAAAACAGTAATTTTCAAAACAAAACCTCAAGACCCACTAAAAAGCAAGTTGGATAAAAACAATGATTATACGAAGATGTTTGATGAGCTTCTATAAATCATATTTTTGAAAATGTGTAGTTACTTTTTGTGCCAAGAAGTTTCTCGAAAATTGGCAAATAGTTGACAAACAAGGATTTTTCGAAAATTCTGAGAATGCAAAGTTTTTAATCTAGGTCTGTTTTACA